CCTCTGTTTTTTATATTCATTTACCACAATACTTAGATTCAGGTATTTATCAACCGGTAATTCTTGGAAGTTGCGCAACTTTAGGCAAGTGGAAAGTGCCAAAAGTCTTTCTTCATCAAACTAAGAATTCCACTCTCTGGGTATCCAATCCCGTGCGCATTCCTACACATGTGGAGGATATATTCTATAAGTATGCTATTTGTCGTCGCGAAAATAAGTGGTTTCGTAAAGGCAAACTGGTAGTCGATTATTTTGAGGGTGTTGGTGGTGAAAGAACCAATCGCAAAATGGAGTTTCTCGAAAACCATTATGACTTATGGCAAGACAATTATAATATGAAACTCAATATGAGGGCCCTTAAAAATGATTTTCAATTTGTCAAAAGTATTTATGATAACATTAAAGGCATTGAAACTTTAAAGGATAGAATTATGGAATATCAATATATTGCTCGTCAGTACAAAGATCTCACTAATTCTGCCACAAATATCAATTTCATTCAGAATAAATTAGCATCTAGTGTCTCAAAGGAACAACGGCTCTTCTTGTGCATTCTTCTCGGATCTTATATGCTTCAACCAAACAAACCAATGATAAATGGCTGTTATCTTCCACAGAACTTTCCGTCTACTAATTTGCTAGAAGATCTTGAAAGTATAGATTCTGATTTTAGTCTCTCTGATACTAGGCATCTTGTTTCACATGCGATTAGAGCTTTAGTCCAACACAATTCTAAATATGGCTTCACAACATGGTTTAAAATGTTCACCCTTGCACCAATACTCGATGAGTCATATGCTTTTATAGACGCGATAGAAGTTTATAATTTCGAAAGACGATCTGATCAATTTCTTAATGCGTTGGGAGACAATGTGAAGCCTCATATTGATGAGCTATTTCATATGAAGAACGTATTTTATAAAATTATACAGGTAATAATGTAATATATAACAATTACTGATGTATTATCTTGTTAAATATGTTGAAACTTAATTTTATTTCTTTATAGAAACTAGTTTCATTATCGTATGATTTGGAAAGTCTTTTATTTTTGTGGGAAAAAATTATCGGGTTTGAAAAAACAGATGATCACTTGCGCAATACGATGAAAAAAAGAATTGATGAATTAATAAAACATGACAAGCCTTCTCAACTTAAAGTGCACTTTTATATTTTCCCGGAGAAGTTGCAACT